ATAATTATCTTGTTATACTACTCTTTTATAACTATTTTATTAACATTTGTCTTATGTCTATTTTTATTTTTATATATAATAATATAATTGTTAAAAAACAAACATGAAATAAAATAATTGTTAATTATAAAAATATAAACTCATAATTATGTTAGACGCATGTACCGTAAAATATTTATCCACACGTATAACATTTGGGTATACCATGCACATTTAAAATTGTATACACATGATTAATAATGTGTGTGTGTGTGTATACATAAAAAATTCATAATATTTGAATAAACAACAAATATATTTATTCTCTAATATAAATAGATCTGAAACATAGTACAAAACAAGAGAACAAAAGGACAAACCTGAGCAAGCTCGTAGTAACCAGCTGAACAAGCAAGAGAGAGTAGACTCTCTCCTTCTTCTGTTGTTTCGTGAACACTGCGACCTTCTGTCAGCAATTTTCTTACAGTACCAACGTCTCCGTCAGTGCAGGCCTCCACAAGCGAACGCTTCTCGTTTTGGGCACGTGGATTATCACTACGCATACGCGTTAATGCTGCTGCTGCTTCGTCCAATGCGCAAGAAACACTAGATGTTAAACGACGGAGCACCTCGTGATCTGCCAAGTGCTTCCCATCGCCTGACGACAATTTGCCTATACCTGCTGCCTCCAGAAGAGCTTCCAAACGCGCTTGAGTTACAGGATCTACTGACCTTTCAGGGTCCTCCGGGTTCAATAGAAATTTTGATGACTCTAGATGATTATCTTCATCCAACTCAACTTGATCAATTGCAAAACACTCCACCTATAATTATTACAGAAACAATACCGATAAAAGATAATTAATATTCATACAAAGCAACTTCAACTTTGACTATGTAATTAACTTAAAATTAATACGAGTATCAATGTAAATAAATGTTTTTCTCTCTAAATAAGAAAATTCTTTGTATTTTTTAACCATTTGATGTCGAAGAAAAAGAAATAATTCTTTACTGAGAAACATGAATTACCAAGTCAAAAGATTATATAATCTTCGATTAAAAAACTAAAGAATAAATGAAAAATTATATATGTAATAAATTTCTTATAAAATAATATCTAGCATAATAATAAAGTAAAATAATATGCATTGATTGCAAAGAAAAGAATTGTTAAAAACTGAAATTAATATAAATACAAAAGATACAAGCACAATATATGAAGACCAATAACTATGCAAAAAAGATAACCTTAATTCTGAATATATAATAACAAATATTACTTGATTATAGATACAACAAAAACATCTCTGTGCGTGAAAGTAAATTAACTTCAGTGAGAGTAGTAATGAAAGGTAATAAATACAAAATTTATATTACTTGCTAATGTTTAAAAATGACTTATAATAAAGGTGAAGTATGTAAGTTTAATTAAAAATAACGAAATCTCTTTGTTCTATAATCAAATATAGAGATTTGATCAATGAAATGTAGCCAAATAATATATCAAGAAATAAAGTGTTAAATGAACACATTAAAAAATATATATATATTTCTACATGATAATAAATTACAACAAAACCTATAAAAAATACACAGTAATCATAATTGATTTTTTATCAGGGTTAAGAGCATAACCGAATAATGAAAATAAATCGAGAAATACGATTTATTGTAAAATTACTCAAATAGCGCGGTATATCATCAGCTTTGACACGATTGTAAGACGTGACGTTCCAAAATAATTGAGGTTATTTCCGCCTATAGCAGCAACTATCAACGGTTTTTATATACAATCGTATAACATAACTATAATCTTTAATAAAGAGAAATGTAATATCAGAATAATGTAATGATATAAATTATTTACAATATAGCTGAGAAATATAAAGCATTAAAGCCACGTCAAATCAACGGAGAGAAATGTAAATGAAGGAGCTTAAAACGCGTACTTCGCCCATCTTAACTTCACATCTATATAATAGAATAATTTTCCTAGTTTAAACGATAATCGGTTGGAAACAATACTTCAAAATGAGGAAGGAATTCGCGAGTGAAAGTATGAGAATAACCTGGCAACTAAACGGATATAAGAATAATATGTGCAGCCATTCCAAAAAGGAGACACAAAGCTAGTAATTCCTCGATTAATTACTATTTTATGCGTACCTATGCTAGAACTTAGTATTTTGCTCTGTTCCAAAATAAATAGATTTAGGCGTGTTAATTCGTTCCCGATCGTTGTTGTCCACTCTGTTTTAATAACGAACACGATCTTAAAATCGCGCAAGAGAGGCAAGAGAACGATAGAGCGCTCGAGAGGAGGAGGAGGAAAAGGAGATGGAGGGGGAAAGAGGAGGCGACAGGAAGAAGACTGGATAGAAAGGTAATCGGAGGGGAAGAAGAACAGGAAAGAAAGAAAGAAGACGAAATTCTGCAAAGGTTTATCGTAGATTATAGAATATAGTAGTCTTGCTCTCTAGAATTTCCTCGCATACGCGTTCAACAACAAGAAGGAAAGCGACCGAGCGAGCGAGGAATATATAAACGAGCAGACAAGCCTTCATGAACACGCACCAAACGTGAAAAATACAAACGAAATCCGCTGGGTGGCGCCCAACATACACGATATATAGCAGTGATACTACACTTGCTTGTACATATAGATATACATATCGCTATATATTACGTTTAGAGCGCGTGCGCGCACGCGTACATAGCGCGAGCGCGCGCGTCCCTATCCAGTTAAAGTGCAAGTTCCAATCGCGAGCATGTGTCAGACTAGACACATACGTACACACGAATGCGCGCACGCGCGTTCGTCGGTGTATGCGCACGCGCATGGTTATGCAGCATGCCACTAAGAAGTTCAAGCGGCGTGTATATACACACTCTTGCAGCATGTGGGATATATAAGAAAGAGAGAGAGAGAGAGAGACACGAGATGGCACACGAATTTTAACCATCAGAATGGCACCAATAATATAACTACAGGAATAGTTTATCGATAATGATGATGCACAGCTTTTCATATTATTTTCTAATATTTTTATAGCCTTTCTTTGTCTTCAAGAGAACAACGAATTTAAATGCTAAAGGACGAGTTTTCAGAAGAGATGCAGGAAAAGGGGGTATAGATAGACGGGTATAATGGAGGATAAGAAGAGAGAAGGAAAGTATCGAAGGACTGTCTTTGCGTTTTACAAGAAAAGAGAAGACTTGCAGTTGTCTCTTGTGCACTGAGTCTTCACTAATGTTCGTCGCTACCTATAAACGCATACATTCCGATTATATAACTTCTCTATGCGAATTTCCTTTATCGTTTATTCATTCGCTTATTCGCTTGTTCTTTCGCTCTTCCTTTCCTTCGTTCTCTTTCTGTCTCACTCACTCACTCATTCTCACTCATTCTCTCTCTCTCTCTCTCTCTCTTTCTCTCTCTCTCTCTCTCACTTCTCTCTCTTCCCCCCGCTCTTTTTCTACCACTCCGCTCATCTATCCTCCTCTATCATCTACTTCCTCTTTCCTTTCTCCCCCCGATCAAAGGTAGCAAGGTAAGATAAATGGCATGTAATTCCGCATTTGTTGAAGAAAGAATACTCAACGCATTCGATGCTAAATGCAAAGTCAAACGAGAATGATCCCAATGGGCTCTTAGTAAGCAACACCGACGATAAGAAAATTTCTATAGAATTAAATGCCGAGAATTCCGAAAGTTAAATGCAATCGTTTTAAAATAATTTTTTAACCACAATATATTGGGTTTGTACACTATATATATTATATATATAATATGTACTTATATATATATATATATAATTGGATCGAAATGAGATCGTACCTAATAGAAAGAAGTACATGCGTACTACACTATGTTTAGAGAAATTCGCAAAAACGCGAAAGAAGTGTTCCTAACAAAATAATTCTTGATAAATTCTTGTAAGCGAAACATTCTATCAACAATCTAAGAAGACATGTATAAGCTTTGTTCCTAGAAAAATGAGGACATATTTTTGGTTAACGAAGTAGAAATGCACGCGCGCGACTCGTCGCGATTGACGTGTCTCATGAGAGGCACTCGTCGAAAGTCTAGCGATCACGAACGGATGACTCGATGCAGGGACGGGTTCTCTCTCTTTCTTTTATTCTATCTCTATCTCTTTTTCTCTTTCTAGCACACTCATACACATCCATGTTTCTTGTTTCTCCGACTCGTCTCACAAAGATATTATTCTTTAATATAAATTGGTCTTGCGTTTACCTCTGAAACGCTGTCTTCTTCGCTCTCCGACGAGTCTGTCATAAAGCGTGGCTGCAATTCTGAAAAGGTCTCGGTTTCCGACTTGGTGGGACTAGAGTTCGAGGACTGGGGAGTCGACGACGTCTTCCCAGTATCGTGGTGAACGCTCGCTGATTTTTCGTGATTTTGACTATCCGAGGTTGTTCCTTGTGCTACATTCTGCATCTTTACCTTCCAGATGAATCATATGACACTAAGTTATCGCTTCCGTGTCGCGAAACACACACGGAACACTTGCTTTTTGACGATAATCTCAAGCACGGTCGCCGTCATTCACGTAAGCTAACACCCGCCATTTCCACTATGGCCGACAGCAAAGTCCCGGATGCCTTTTCAACCGTTCGTGCGATTTGGTATGATACGACGGGTCACAGTGCCTTTCTCTTGGCGCGAAATTTCGAATTTGCTTTCACGTCTGTTCCTCTTTTTCCATTTAATCTTTTTTCGTACACGTTTAATTTCATATTCACGATATACGAACTCCAATAACTTTATATAAATAATCGTTAGACGTATGCATTTATTAATATTATTTATAATTCGATTAAAAAATTATACACAACCATCATATGCGTCACTGAGCTACAAATACTTAGCGAATGACCTAATGATCATTTTTCTTCTCAAATTATTCATTGTTTTTAAGAAATATTTGTTTTCGAAAAGAATATATAGTATAATTAGTTGCTGAAGTATATTCTTTTTTACGAAATATAAAATATAAGAGAGAAAACTATATCTTATATATGTCATAATTACAGTCGCAATAATTACTAATTATATAACTTTAAATTCACTATATATTTTACGTTAATTTAAGTTATCTGTAATTATGATTTATTTATCTCTTGTTTTAGATTCTTTTTTGAGATATACGAAATAATATGTAGAAAAAATAATTCTAGTAATAGAATATTTTAGTTTAAAAAGTGAAGTAGCATATCTTGTCCACCATCTTGTTTTCTTGGCCAATTATATTTCAGTAATTCCGTATGTCTAAAAACATTGTAAAAATGAATTTACTTTTAATTTGCTATTCTTACTACTTTTACTAAATAAAAGTAAATGTTGAAGGAAGTATATTTATACGATACAATTTGTTAATGTTAATTATAAAATACCGATAATGTAAAATGTTCAACTGAATCATGACGTTAAATATTATTTTTACTTTATCAAATGCAATTTCATATTTTGCGCATCCAGTATATGTTGTTTTAAATAAATAATTAGTAATTTATATAGCAGTGAAAGATAAGTTAATGAATGAAATTATACTTATAGAATTATAATAAGGTAATACTTTGACAAAATATATATATATTTTTTTTAATACTCTACAATTATATTAAAAAATAATAAAAATAATAATAAAATAATTGTTATATATTATTTAATTAATCTTTATATGTGTTTATGTGATAAGAAAATTATTATGCAATAAATACATATTCAAAATAAAATAACTATGCATTAGAAAGAGATAGAATCTTTCAGAATAAAAGAGAAAAAACTTAAAACTTTATTGCCCTAAAAGAAAAATATATATATCATTAATACCAGCTTTATTGCATTTATAAACACAAACGTTACAAATCTATAACATAAACTATGTGATACTAAACTTATAGTATTTAACATATTAAATATTATTATTTAATCATGAACATTGTATTTTTACGACGGAATTTCATATTTAGATGTACCTGAAATATTGTAAATTATATATTCAGGTATAGAGAAATAAATGCAACATAAAGAACATTTTAATAATTTGATTATATTTTATTTAAAGTATATCAAATTAAGTAAAAATTTATATCAGAGTAATTATTCTGATTTGCATAATGAAAGTATATCTTTTACAAAAACACATAAGTAATTTATTTTCTACAATAACTATAAAATATTTCATTAGGTATTTATATATATATAATGTCTTAATATGGTTTACTTTACAGTAAATAAATTAAGCGATAATAATCTAGCATTATTAAAGAAATCAAAAATAGAAAGCTTTGTAGAAGTAAAATATAATATGATAAATGTCAAATATCTAAAAGTACTTTTAGCAGTATATCATACTACCTTAATGCTATTGCTTTTTAATGCATTGTACTTGTTTTTTCTTATGTATTATTTTAATGTTTTTTTCCCCTTATATACTAAATGTGTGAGAAAAAAGCTATTTTACATTAATTTTTCTAATGATTCTTAAATATGGATTTGAGTAAATTACACATTAAACTGTTTTTGCTTATATTTAACAAGACTTAACATACAATTGATCTTAGATATATTTGCATTCAATGTTTTTTGTTTTAAATCACCCTTGTGACTTATTGTTTATCTTATTATACACACAACATTGATAATTACCAAGACTTAAAATACAAGTGTACGTCTTTTGAATAGAGATACTTGTAAATGATGACACGTCAAAGCACATAAATCAAAATGATTTCTTTTATTTTGTTATATTATCGATAAAGGTGAAGACAAGACTCGATATCGTACTGCCGTTTTTGTTTTCACTTTTATTCGTACAATGATTCTTGCTACACAATTTTTTGTTTCCGTGCTAATTAAATGCAAATAAGAATTAGTAATAATTTGTTAGAGGACTCTGTTGGGTGATGGAATAAATCGTGTAGCAGCTATTATAGAAAAATGTTTAATTTAAAAGATTAAGCTTACACGTTAGTAATACCAAAAAACAAAACTTACAACGTTTATAATAGAGAACATTTTTTTCTTTTAACATTCTTTAGATTAAATAACAAATTATAAAAAAATCCAGAACTGCTTCTATTATTTTCGTCGCATTAGCTGAATTGTACAAATTTATTTTTCTTTATTCTCTTTTCTTCGAATAATTATATACATATGTATATACATAAATAAATATATATATATATATGTCACTGAGATACAAATTATACGATTCGCATACATTATTTCATGTTTCAACTAATACGACGAGATCTATAATTCGTTACATATAGTTAAAATAATAAATATTTACATGATGCATTTATACAAAAAGTCAGTACTCTTGAAAAAAAAGTTGGTATGATTGTCAAATCTTCGTAAATGAACACTCCTCTCTTTCTGAATCGATTGAATACGTTTATAGAATGAAGTTTTAATATTTTTAAACGAACTAAACAGTTTAAAAATAATAGTTATAAGTATAAGTATAATATATAAGTATACGCAATATAATGAAATTATATAAAATTTTCCATATTCAGTAATACTATCTGAATGAATGAAAGATACAAATTAGGTGGAATATGTAAAGGATAGATTATTAATTGTTTTCGTTAAATATTAATAGATTAAACTAACATCCCTTTAATTCTATAGCATTTAAAGTTATCAATAGCAGAAAGATAATGTTCCAAAAGATTTGTGTAACTTTGGGCGCAATAATAAAAACCAACTTTTAGTCTCGTGTAATTAGATGTATATATGTACGATGTTTGTGTGTGTGTGTGTTGTGTATATATATATATGCGTAAGGTGGCTTTTACACTCTCAGATTATAATATCCTAAATAAATAAAAGGAGAGTAAAGATAAAACGAAGAATGGATAAAAGAGAAGAATCCTTTCATAAAATAATTCTTAATCTGCTTCTATGTGTTACTTCACAAAACAATGATAAATAAAGCCATTTGTACAAAGCAGAAGATAATCTCTTCGTCTAATCTTATAAAATTGACTCTTACTGTAAGGAACCAGAATATATGTGTATACATATATATATATATATATATATATATATATATATATGCAAAGCATACATAAAGGTAGCATATTAAGAGTCTTCGATTCTTCTCTGAGTTGGAATTTTTATAGATGTGTGACAATAAACGTCCAAAAGAGGATACGTGGTTTTAAAACTTAGAAGACAAAACTTCATTTCTTTTAGCCACGTTTATAAATGTATTACTAGATGCTTTTAATTAGTGCAAGATTCTAGTAACTAAACGGACGTGTGTGTTTCTTTATATGCGTATTTTATCGTTTACATGTCAAATTCCGTAAAGCAATGCCCGATCTCGAGTGAAGGGGGGAGGGTGAGATGTAGGACATTGCTATGAGTACATATTAACGTTATCTGTATTCGTAATCTGCTTGTTGCGCATATAATTATTCTGTACAATTTCTTTTTTTTTTCTTTTAATTATTATTATTTTTCAACTATAATAATAACTTTGACAAATCCCTCGTTTTTTCTTTTTTCTTTTGACGCCTGCATATAAAATGCCCGATTTATTCTAACACATTCGGCTCGAACTTTACAGTACACCATATTGCAATAATAATCGTACATTATGATGCCGACGTCAAAGGGTTTGTCGAAAGTTAATGCATTTGTTGTTCTTTGTATTTATTATATCCTGTAAATTACTAATCTAACCTTTTTTTTCATTCATATAAAAATAACACGCAATGCGAAGCTATCCAACATTGCTTTGTACATTCGCCCGTGCTCCAATGAAACAAAGTCGAACTTAATAAGCTTAAATTATTAATTGCCAAATTCATTAAGACCATCGTTGTAATCGTGCTGATGTACATATAAAAAAAAAAAAAAGTAAAAAAGAAATGAAAAAGAAATGAAAAAAAATTATATTGACAATTTAAAACTGGGGTATAGAAAGAAGCTTTCTTTTTTGTCGCCAATGTCACACTCGAGGAACGTAACTTTTTAAGAAACCTTTCATTATCTTTTTCTTTTTGAAGAAAAATCAAAAACTTTAAGACATAACACTCTAATCTACAAAATCTGTATGATACAAAATACATACTCTCATACATATATACATCGTATATATGTATATATGTAAAGGGTGGATTGAAAAGTTTGCAGTCTAACACAGAAACAATTTGTTTCTCGACCAAATTCATTTTTATTTAAAAAAAAGTTAAGTTTTTTAATGTTAATTCTCCAAATTTTTTAACCCATTCTTGTATATAAATATATACCATTAATTTTCAAATGGAGTAATAAATTTTAACATGAAATACACGTTACAATCGAAAAATTGATATCTCTGTTATTTGCAAAATCGCAGAGAAAGATAAAGAAGAAGAAGAATATTAATATATAGTTTAAAATTGGAGCAATAATAGGGTTTAATAGATAACATAAATTGTAATAAGAGTACTAACACGCGCATTTAACGAGTCACAAAATTAATTTTTAATGGAAACACAACATTTGATGAAATTTAATTTCAATTGTTATTTTTCTTGAAGCTTTCTTTGCAACCAAGATTTTATGTATTTTTAAAAAACAAATAAAAAATAACAATAACAAAAATAAAATAAAAAAAGAAAAACAAATTGTGTCATTTTCTACCGACCATCTCAAAGAAATATTAAACGACAATGATTTTTTTTCGACTTAATTACATTCGTATTTCTATTATTTCGGTGCCAATCTCTACTTATAGCGTAAATTTGCGTGCATACTGAGTATGATTGATTACGTAGTTGAAAACATTAAAATATTTAATATTAAATGTAGTTTTTTTTTCTTTGCACGAGATGGTCATTAATCTAAAGTGCTCATATTAAATGTGTTTCTATATATGATTGCTCGATATTTACAATCCTTTCAATACTTTGGCTCTCAAATACGAAGAACAAAAGAATATTTATTGCATACTGTTGTCATCTCATGATGTTCTCTGGTAATACGAAATCATATGATATAATTATATCTATATTTACACAATTTTTTTTAAAGAATTGATCGATAAATAATAATAATAATAATAATAATAGTAATAATAATAATAATAATAATAATAATNCGCCCTCCACTCTTTCACCCTTTTAAGAGTTTGTCGTAATTAAAAGTAAAACGATATGACGAATAGAAATAATGAATTCGATCGATAAATAATAATAATAATAATAATAATAGTAATAATAATAATAATAATAATAATAATAATAATAATAATTGTAATAATAATAATAATAATAATAATACGATAGAGGATTTCTGTATACTTATAAAATAATTTGGGATTTCTCGAATATATAACGTATTTGTGAGTTCGAGTTACATTGGTATGCCTATGCTGATGTAATATATTACGTCATTTCATCTCGAATATTATCAAATACGATACACGGAGACCGTCATGAGAAATGCGACTTCTTTTCTTATTTGAAGAAAAATGCTTTCAATTTGTAAAAATCGATTGATGGGTTTAAGTAATTTTCAATTTATGACGATATAATACTTATCATTTCCATGAAGATTAGCTATTATTTTTTTCTATTCCTTTACCAAATTATTTCACAATATAAAGTTTTGTTCAATCATATTGCAGTTTTTATAAAGAAACTCCTGAGTGCAATTTATAGAATCTATAAGTAAAAATTCTAAACAACGATTTCTTCCGATGTTCAAAAGTTTTCTCTATTTTATTTAATTAATTAAACTTTATGAATGCATTATAAACGATATTACAGAGTAATATACGATAGAAATGTATATACACTCTGTAAATCATTGGATGTATATGCTAAAATTGTGAAATATGTTACATCATTTACAATGTAACTCTAATTTCAAAAGAATTGTCAATTAAGTTCAACCTTGTTCTTTTTTTTTAAGTCTACAACCATGAGTAAAAACTAAACATTTCAGTATTCTGTGGTGATATTACTTTATGATCAAGTACCCATAATCTCATGTCTAATGAATTGTATAGGAAAAATCTTTTGTCCCCTATCTCTTGATATAACTTAATTCTACCTTCCAAGCAAGAAGACTACACAATTCATTCGTGTGTATTCCGTGTATGATAACGTATATCTCGAACATTGCTTTATTTTACGTTGATAAGAATTGCACTGTACATTAACTACTCAACGATATCATCAAATTCTGCTAAAAATTCATTTGAAAGTAACAGTGACTGAAATTGACTGCCACATATCTGTACACGTTCAATGTTGTATACAACTATACGAATTACTTGCCCAGTTTACATTGTTGTCTTCGACTTCATTGTTAACTTTCTCTATTGGATTATTAGTGGAACCTGGAAAAGTTAGTGAAAACAAAAATAAAGATACGTTAAATTTGTGGGAATTAAATATATAGAGGTGAAAAAAAAGAAAAAGAACTTACAAGTGTCATGTATCTCTTCTTCCTGCTCCCTTCCTGTCTCACCTTCTTCTTCTTCCTCTTCTTCCTCTTCTTCCTCCTCTTCTTCTTCCTCTTCTTCATCTCCTGATGAAGATTCACTATCGCTATCAAAACTTTCGGAATTCGCTGATAAAGAATATCTATCATAATCTTCGGGATCAGAATATATTTCTGCTCCCGGGAAAATATATCTTCCAGGTGTCAATTGATAATATGAATTATCTACAAAAAAAAAAAGAAAACACCAAATTTTAATCAAATTATTATAATAATTCAAGAAGTCGTTAGATTTAAATTAAAAATTTCCATTAATTTTATTTGTATATACAAACATATAAAATATACCTGGTAGTCTAGTAGTAAGACTATCTCTAATTTTAGATGGCCAACAATATCTCTCCAAGTCATTCGATTTCGATTCTCCAATTTCACCTTTTTCTTCTGAACTGTCAACGCTGTTACAACTATCACCTATACCAGAATCCATAGCCGAATCAATAGATGTTTGACGAGGTTTAAAACCGGTTTTTTCAAACCCAATATGATTCATTAATGTGGATTCATCGTCAGATTTTTTTATTTCTTCCCTACTGCCGACAAATCGATTTGTTTCTAAAGTAATGTCTGTTAATGTATTGATCGAAGGAAATTCGATTAATCTTGGTGCCACTTGACATTCTTCTAAGTTATAGATTTGACCATTATGTTCGGATGTTGATTCCACGGATATAATATGATTCTTAGATTCTAGAGATTGTATCGTTTGATCACTAGTTTCTGTTGTATCCTTATTATACGCAACATAATTTATTACGGAATGGCACCCAAGATTTATTCTTTTCGGACTATTTTCATTACTGGAAATGTCTAATCTTCGCTTCGGACTTTCGCCTAAGTTATATGTTTCTTCTACATGTTCTGTACGATCAATTTGGAAAGTTGAAGAAACACAGACGTCTGTTGTATTTTGAACAAATTGAGCTATCGGATTTGGATTAATCATTAAATTATTTGGACTCTCCAAAGATATATTATGTGACGTTAAAATGTCGTCTGTACTGCTTTGTGGTAATATTACATGATCGGTAATATCTTGACTGTGTTCCCACGTATCATCCGGCATACAACGCGATGGTAAAAGTTGAGATGCCTCTTTTAAGACTTTTTCACGCCAACATACTTCTTTGTAACTATCACCCATTCTGTGAAAACAAACAAAAAAAAGCATCATCTTATTAGGAATCCTAATACTCGCGTGAGATAAAATGGAAAAGAAAATCTATATTTTTAACTTACAGATGGCAAAGCTGATTTATAATAATGTCACCATCTCCTAATAATTCAACATCAAATTTGAGATGCGGTAGAGACTCCCGATTGATGAGAATTTGTGGGACGTGAGATGGAATTGATGATGGAATTAATGCTACTGGTCGAACCTTTAATGATGATCCAATAACAATTAAAAGGTCGCAGTCGTCCTTATCTTTAGCCATGGCATCGTGAAATGCATCCGGAAGACCTTCGCCAAAGAAGACTATATCTGGTTTCATAATACCTTGAGACACGAGATCTGAAAATGAAAAAGACAAGAATGTATTTTATATACTAAATTGATTTTTTCGATTAAATATGGAGAAAAAAAAATACAAATTAGGTTCACAGAGTTATGGCGTCTTTTTTACTCAATCATAACATATTTCAATTTTAAATGTCAAATTTGATAAAATGGCAAGCGGTAAACTCTAAGCCCGTAACCACGTCTGATTGGCGTTTACGGGGTTATTTGATGCAATTTTATAAGTTTACCTTATTATGCTTATTAATAAGCGAGGTTTTACTCGCAGTTATGATTGACATATCGACTTATGTGTGGATCAGTGTAAATGGCAACATCATTTAGCGAAGATGTATTCCGAGAAGAGCAGATAACGTTCTCACATGGCCATCGACTCGCGACACAATATAGGAAAGGCTAATAGCAGAAACTATCTCTAGATAGCTAAGTTTCCATACCATAGAAACTGATAAGCCAGATTACGAAAGACTGCAAATAAATATACTATCAGCGGAGATCAAATATAAATGGATTATCCATTTACCTCTATAATTATCGTTGGGGTTGGTCTCTGCTATTGACGGTAGGGTGTTCACTCTGCATTTTGGACACAAAGGTATTCTTTGGGCAAAAATGTCTTCTCTGATGTCGTCTGCTTTAACTTGATATTTACACCTTGTACAGGAAGCAGTAGCAAAGGAGCCTTTTAGAGAAAAAAGAAAACATAAGAAAAATGTAAGTATAACAAAACACAAGACGATTTAAAAAATATCGATAATTTTTCTACTTTACGAAAGATATTTTCGATCTTACGTTTCAATCTTTTCCTGAGTACAAACAACTCCTCAATAATACGATACTCCGAGAACACGGTTTAGATATAACACGGTACAAAAATTGCGAAATACTCTTCTATAACATGATATCTTCCGAGAATAGTTTTAAATATGTACCGCATTCATTTGACTAATTTCCCATAACATAGTACGAATTAATCATGTTATAGTGGAGTTGCCTGTACCACAGGAATATCGAATTTACATACCGTGGCATTCTATCACGTTTTCAATGCCTGCTACTTGTTCCAAAGTATCGATATTTTGCGAATAATTTCGTAATAGTTTTTTCTGTTTGTCCAATATTTTAATAAACCTATGACAGGGGCTAGGTTTAAATTGTCCTGGATATATTTCACGTGCAAATTTGTAAAATGGTCTGGGATCTTGGCCAAAATAATTGATATCGAACATAGCCTACGAAATAAATGTGATAAAGTTAAATCAAATTTATTAAAGTACAAAAATTTATTAAAGCAAACAAATTAATTAATTCGCACTACCTGTGGGTCGGGTAAATCTGGGAAATCTTGAGCAAGTCTTGAATATATACCATCTCTACTTCTGAAGTCAGGTATACCACAACTTACACTAACACCGGCGCCCGTCAAAACTATGATTTTGTTACTATTGCGAATTAATCTAACAACGTCGGATAATGTATTTACATGCCTTAACTTTTGTCTTCGTGGTGGTTCAGACATCATATTTATTATTATCTAAAATATGAAATTACTTAGCATTAGTATATGCTCATCATAAATATTTCAATTGTATTCGTCGTATCATTTTATTGAATATATCTTCATTTTCTGTCTACTATATAATAGAGATCTCTCTACCTTCCACAATGTCAGGTCATCAACCTGCTCAGGAATATGTGTGGAATCCATGAGTAGGTGATGCAAAAGATCTCGTGGATCTGTACCCGTTAACATTTGCTTTTGCACCCACGAACAGGCGTTTCGACACTGAACACCAACTTCTCCGTTACCAGAAAGTTCAGACAAACCTGATAAATCTGACAAGTTTGATACAGTCGATGACACTTCGTCTTTTTCGTCTGCAGTGTCAATCCTAATGCACGAGTGATAACAATAAATAACATAAAATATCTAAAGCACAATATAAAATCATACCATTTAATGAATTAAAACTCACGGGCATCCAGTATCGTCACTGGTTGAATCAACTGTAGATGAAGATGTCAAATTTGTAGCATCTGAAGATGTGGAAGCAGACTTGGATTCATCGCTTAACTCAGCATATGCGCTGTCTGTACCCGAAGTTTCTGTATTTATAAAAAAAAAAAAAATAATTATTCATTAATTTATTCTACAAGTTTAAAATTACGTATTAAATTCTTCGCATAATTGTATAAATAATCTAAACAAAAACAATACTATATATTTTTATGATATAAAATCTATTAAATATTGCATATATGTATTTAATTTTAAAGATGATTTCAATCAGTAATATACTCATGCAATTATAAATTATTATTTCAAATAAAAATATTTTTTCTTTTTGTTCTAATTTAATATTTCATTATAAAAAAAACAAAGAATTTCTAACAACCTTATGTCCTTTTAGAAATAAAACAGTACAATAAATCTATTAAATTCTATTTTGACATCAATGGATCATAAATATACATTTTAAGTTACTTGATGACATTATAAAAATAAGTTAATCTTTGTTATTTAATGTTGATTCTTCTTTTTAAAATAAAAGAAAATGCTTATTTATTAATATTCAATTAAAAAAAAATGTCTATATACATTTAAAAATGTCATCTCATTATTAAATTTATAAATCATTGCTTTCATATATAAAAAAAATTATTAAAAGCATATTATCGATTATATGCAAAGATACATTTATTATTAGGGGGAAAAGAAAGATGATTTTATTAAAAAAAAAAAAAATTGCTATCCATTTATAAAAGTCGATGAATTATTTATAAAATAGCTTTTATTTATATATACATATATGTATGTATGTATAAATATATATATATATATATATATTCTATAAAAATGATTATATATATTCGTAGAACATATTTTTCCCGCCTATCGATGTATATGCGCAATGAAGGGAAAACAGTTACTTTTCTCTTTTATGTGAGAATTGTGCCATCTGTGAATCTCTGCGAATGAAGCGCACTGAGACGCTACTGTCACACTAATCCTTCGATACGCGTCTCGAATGCTTTATGTTCTGAACAATTTTTCTTTTTTTTTTTTCTAATTTTTATTTTTTATCTTTTTCTACGCGACATTGAGAAAAAATGCGACCAATAGCAAGGAAGTCATAGAATACCGGCCTTATAAAGTTGCTTGAGGAAACTGTTAACTGCGGTAGAAGTAAAGTATTTAGAAAATACGACGCACGAAGCGCAACTGTCATGGCGTCCTCAGTACTCGCTGCAAACAGGATCAAGCTAAGACAGAGCATGGAAAATGAGGTGACGCCTTTCGCTCCGCCATCTTGAAATTTGGTCGATTTGTTTAATTAATTGTTCATAATATTGTTAACTTACCTTCAAAATCTTCATTAGCTCTGTCTTGTACGATCTCGTTATCTCTGAAATCTGGTTCAATACTGTTGATAGACGTATAATCGTAACCGTCGACCTTTCGCCGTTTTGCTGGGGACGAATATTCTGGCACCTCCGAGCCCGACGCCATTTTCAACAGCAATGCATTGCATACTTTGATGAGCGGGCCGGTAGCTTAACAGAGGTCGCTTTTATCCATAATATCCCCTCCTTGCTCTTACATGGGAATAGGAGACGACAACTAGACCGATTTCTACCACTTAACAATAAAATCAAATAATGACACAAAAACCATCATTGCAAATTATCGCCATTAACTTTAACTACTTATGTTTTAATCCCGAAGATAATTCTCCCTAAAAGAATATAGATATATATTGTATTATACACTTTATTATAAATTTGTATTTAGAGAAAGTTTATCAAATAAATGCGTTATTACTTTTATTATTTTTAACATTACACGCACATACTCAATATCTAAAGATATTAATTGGAATAAGTAAAATATATTGTATCTAAATATCTTTGTTAAAATACAATACAAATTTATCACTTAGTAACTTATGATAAAGTACTAACAATCTGTTAGCATTCCTTCTGTATATCTGACATGCAAATGTATATGTCAAATAGAATTTAAATAGAAGAAGTCACACATTTTTGGGATGCATTGTCTTATTTAAAAAAAGAAATAGATAAGGAAAAAAGGGCAATTAATTCTTACGCCAAACAACAGTGAACTCTTTCGCATTTATATTTGGTTACGCCTAGAGGTTAAGCAAGTGATGGCAATTATATATTTTTATCGATTTATCAGTTTTTTATAATTGTGATAGTTATTATTCTATTTACAGACTTAAGAAATATTTATTATGTGGACTATAAGTAAATAGTTAAATGCAGAACAGTGTGTATTTATATTCGTATATATTTATATACCAAGAATAATTAAACAATACTATATGATAGACTCACTATGAGATAATACTAATCTAATACTTTTAATTATAAAATTGAAAGGAATTTAGTAAGTCTAGTATTATTAACGACCAAGTAAATAGTCTGTCCACTTATTTCTTTTTTCAATAATTACATCACTTATGTCAGAATGAAAATTATGATGAATATATATATTTCTTCAGCATTATTATTTATTATAATAAATAGAAGTACACATTACTTAAATTTAACAATACATTAATTTGTATTATCTGGTTTTTTACTATTATCATTTTTTATAAAACTTCTTAACATTACAAGTATAGGAATTTCAGCTTGTTGATCTTTTGGCACATAATTTTTTTGAAAAATATACCAAAAGTAGTGTATCGTAGTAATAATGACTAAAGATGATGTTACTGAATGTACAAACAACTTCATTGGTTGCAAGGGCTTCATTGCTTCAATAGTATTATATTTTATTTTTTGCAGAAATTATTCAATAAAATATTAATATCGCTGGACTGATATTAATATCAATGGGTTCATAAAAATAATACTTTCATATAATTATACTGGTTGCTTGAGCGTAGAATTGCAGTATCTAGAAAATTAATAAAAATTATTTTCTTCTGTAATCTATTTAATATATTTTAAAATTCTTTTACAATTAATATTAATTATAGCAAGATAATATATGATGACTGCAAAATATAATATTTGAAAGTTTAAATTAATATAGACAAATATTTCAAATATTGTATTAAAAATGTTACCAGGAGTAATATAGAAATCTCCTAATCATTTCTAATATGATTTAATATAGTTAAGTAAAAATAGTAAATTGCATTGTATCGGACAGCAAAATAAAAAAAGTTTAATTACCTCAAATTATCTGATTTCTTAATAAAATGATTTGTTATAATTACTACTATCATTAGAAATGAACGAAATTAGCAAATATATGAGATCGTATTAACAAAATTGCTTTTGAAATAAAATTTGTTCCTATTTTATATAGGTTGTGTACAAATGTAATAAATATTTTGTATGAGTGTAACGATACGTTAATTTAAATTATAAAAGAAAATAAAGTTTTTATCTGCAGAAAAGGGTCTATTTATACCTTAAATATAGAAGAACCTATAAAAAAAAAGATAAAAAGGGATATATCTTCTATCTCGCTCTATCTTTTCCACATGGAAATAATCCTTTATAGTTGCGTCCCTTATAAATGGTTCGTTGTTGCCTTATAACGTTACGCATGACTCTACTTACATGGAAACTAAGCTTAAGCTACACCAACCAAATATAGTACAATTCTACCTATTAATTGATGATTACTGTTGATACACGTGTTGGATTCAAGAAGTTTCAAATATTTTCAAGATTTTGGATAATACAATTGATTTTAGTAACTTTTGAACAAAATACATCAAAATGAGCGTGAGTATCAGAATATGTTTTTGTATTTAATATAAAATAATCTAGTATAAGTAGTTAATATTTGTATTTCTCCTAACAGAAACAAAAGAAATCTAAGATTAGTAAAATTAAAAGAAACAATCAGACAAAAACAAAACTTTTAAAACAAGGAAAATTGAAAACCCGAAGACACAAGCAACCTAAAAAACAAATTCAAAAAATTATACCTAATGTAAACAACGTACAAGAAGAAGAAGAAAGTGATAATGGAGAAGATTTATTACATATGGTCGAAAAAGACGATTTGTCTTTTTTACAAAATGCTATATCTAATAAATCTTATAATTTACTGAAAAAAATAAGATTGAATGAGTACAAAAATCATTATTGTATAATTATATAATTTTAATAATGAAGGGATTTCATTTAATATTTATTTTAGAACAGATATCAACGATAAACAAGGACGAAAATCTAAAAGAAAAAAAGAAGATGATCGGCTGGAAGAATTGTACGAAGAAAATGTATCTAAGTTAAATGAAGGAAACAGTATAAAAAAAATGCGTATGCTACTTCCTATAAAAACTCAACAAGGCGTGTTAGAAAAAAGAATAATAGAAGAAGAAGAAGAAGAAGAAGAAAAAGAAGATCAGGAAGTTGAAAATAATGAAGCAAGTATTTCTGAGCAAAATTGGAGAGATGAAGAACAAAATAACCGTGAAGAAATTAATACATATTTACAAGTAAATCTTTTAAAATTATTTTGATATTATGTTTACAAAATATGTTATATTATATATAAAAGTTGTTTGAATTCTATAACTTTTTCAATCTAATAGCAGAATATAATAATAGAAATGAAATAAAATTTTAGAATAATTTAAAGAAGGAAAATGGTGAAGCAGTATCTACAGTAGAACTTATAGCATGTCGTGAAGAGATATTAAAATCAAGGCGCTTCAAAATTGGAGTTTTATCCAGTACACTTTTAGAAAATCCAGAACATAAATCTAATAATTTTAAAATACTTTTGGATTTCATGGAAGAAAGTAATCCAGAAATTTATATCACGGTTAAAAAATTGGCAATGATATCGCTCTTAGAAGTATTTAAAGATCTTTTGCCATCTTATCAAATTTTACAACTCAAACCGAAAGGCGTCAAATGTTTGTATATTATGTTTATACATAAAAATATTTTTAGAAACTATCTAATTACGTGTATTTTTAATTTCATGTATTTTTTAGTGAAAAAGGAAACATTACAATTACATAACTATGAAGCTGTTTTATTAAAAAATTACAAACAGTACTTGCAGAAACTTGAAAAAATGTCTAATATTTTGAGAAAAAAAGTAGGGTATACACGAATTGTTAATGAAAGAGAAATGTTATTGGGAGAACTTGGAGTAATGTGTATGTGCGAATTATTAGTTTCACACCCTTATTTCAATTTTTCCCTAAATATAGCAAACTTTCTCATACCATTATTAAATAACAAAAAAACTAGCGTAAGAGAAAAGGTAGTTAAATGTATTTCTCAAGTATTTAAAGAAGATAAACGAGGAGAATTATCGCTTACGGTAAGAAATTGTACAAAATTATTTTGCTTATTAGTGTTATGTTTTATATACAAATATTCTTTATAAATTACAGATAGTACGTAAAATAAATCAATTTATAAAATCTAAAGGTCATAGTGTACAACCTGAAGTTTTATCTGTACTTTTATCACTTCGTATAAAAGATATTGATCTTGATAAAGAAAAGGAAGACGAAACAAAACAAAAGAGATTGATGTCTCACAAACAAAGAATCCTTTCCTTAAGCAAACGGGAAAGGAAAAAGAGCAAAAAGTTAGAACAAGTAGAAAAAGAACTACTTGAAACTAAAGCGGAAGAGAATAAACAGACGAAACAAAAAGTTTTCACAGAAATAACAAGCGTGGTATTCACAATTTATTTCCGAATTTTGAAGCAAGCTCCAAATAATAAAATTTTATCAGTATGTCTGGAAGGTTTAGCAAAGTAAGATAAATCCTTATACTACTTATACATATTTTACTTTACTATTCAAACGAAAATTATCTTCATTTTACATATATTTTACAATTTTAGATTTGCACATTGTATCAACTTAGATTTTTATCAAGATATAGTAACAGTTATAGATAGATTAATGGATGAAGGTAATTTAGGATTAAGAGAACAATTACATTGTGTGCAATGCGTATTTACAATATTATCGGGCCAAGGTACATTATTGAATATTGACCCTTACAGGTATGTATAATTTATTATAATACATAATTAATGAAAAAAATTAAAAACAAAATAAATGTTATATTTATATTCGAATTTACATTTTTTACAGATTTTATGTACATCTATATAAAAATCTTTTAAATGTTTATTGTGGTAAAACGCAAAATGAAACAGAAATTATTTTAAAAACTTTAATGCAAGTACTTATTAATAGAAGAAAAAGAATATCTCCTAAACGTTTAGTAGCTTTTGTAAAAAGAATGGCTACTTTAACTTTACAATTACAACACAATGGAGCACTTGGCTTACTATGTATTATCAAACAAATAATGCAACTTGGTAAAGCAGTAGATGTTTTACTAGATACAGATTATACCAGTGGAGATGGTTTTTATCAACCTGAAATTGAAGATCCAGAATATTGTAATGCACATTGTTCTGCGTTATGGGAGCTCGTTGACCTTCAGGTTCTTATTTTTAAAATGTTTAAAAATTCATTATGTTTATTTTATATTAATATTTATTTCACATTATGCAGCGTCATTATCATCCCGTAGTTCGGAAATTAGCAAAAAATATAGCATGGAATGTACCTGTAAGTGGTGAAGGAAGTTTAAGTGCAGATAATGCTAAGCTGTAAGTATGCTCATATCAAGTAAATGATATATAAAAATAAAATAAATTTTCTGGTTTTTAATTCATAAAAAATTATTCACTTCTGAAATTTGTAGAACCCCGGAACAATTTTATACAGAATATGACCCAACTGGTGTTGCATTTAAACCTCCTGTACTTCCACCTAAGAAGATAAAATCAAATTCGATAGATTATTACTATAAAAGTAATGAATTTGAAGAATACATTAACACTATTAAGAATCCAAAATTATTTTCAGATGGATACATAGATTTTTATAAAATTATTACTAAAAGTTAACATGTTATGTATAATAAAACATTTTTGTGTAATAAATGTGTTTATATTTCATACAATTTTAATGTTTAGATACATTTCAATAAGTTTATTTTTTTATTTTTCATCCTCTTGGTTTTATTAAGCGGTAATATTTATTAAAATTTTATACTGAGATCGACGTATTTTTTTAAATTCCTGTCTCTATATTTTTTTTTCTTTTTTTTTTTTTTTTAGTCAGAAGAATACATTTTTGGCAAAAATACTTTAATTTATTTTCATTATGAATAAAATAATAAAAGCATTATTAATTACAGTAAATATATCTTCTTTGTGTGTGTTCTAAAAATAAGCTACAGAAATAACGAATATGAAATACCCTTTATTCGCGTTAACACTTTAATCAGTAAATTATTATTTCAAATACTTGCATACATATATCTAGAATTTATATTGAAAATGTGTAAGCAAGATCTTTAATATTTCTTTTAACAAGTGTTTTTACTAGTAAAACATGAAATGAAAAACCAAAGAGGAACTAGATTATCTAATTGACTTTACTGTAGGAGAAAATAACATAAGTCTAATATTTTTCCAATCATATCTCTCATAACTTTGCAAATAATATAATTTCATCATTTTATATATCAACCGATATAAGAAATTATAATTAATAAACTTATTGTATTATATGCAATTTTATTTTTAATCCATTATTAGTAAAATGGATATTCATATTTATATGCTATCATTCATCCAAATGCTAAAGCTGTACAAAATACGTGTAATGAAAAATGTGATATACCATACCAAATGCTATATATGTACATAAGATTCGTTTTTACATTATACAGTAAAATATGAAGTTCGAAAATGAAATATGATATTAAATTTTATTATAAAACATGTAGCGTTAAATGAAATAATGCATGCTTATAACTATATAAAAAAAGTCATTCTAAAAATGTTTACAGTTATTTTCTTTTCTTTTTTAATTGAATACTTTTCCAAATATTTATTGCATTAACAAAGAGTAAATTCGAATGAATGTAATATTATGTACTATTGTACAAATGTGTACTATAGACAAATACACCTTGACACTATGAAGTTCCAGTCTATATCATTGTTGTACATTCACAGAATATATTTAAAATGTAATATTTTTTTTAGGAATTTCCATTAATGAAAGAAAGATTATTAAAATAGATTCTAATTATTTTTAATTGAAATTTTTTTAAAAAATTAAATTATGCTTTTCTATACGTAATTAATGTTATTCACAAATAATAAATTGATGAATTTATATTAGAAGTTTCTATTAATGACCAATTGATTATCAAGTAATATATTGTACCAATACATTTAACAAGATTATTACGGCCTTGCATACTGTGATATATATTTCAGAGTATAAACTGATTATGGTATATAAAAATTTTAATTATTTATCAGGTTCAAATAATTGAAATATATTGTGCATAAAAATAATAAGTTAAAACTTCTACCATATATTTTATAAATATCTCTTTCAATGTCCTATGTTAACTAGAACAGATATTTAAAAATTTAAATACAGTATGTGATCTGAGATTCATAAATGGATCTATTATAAGAATCAATCAATAATCTTTTATGTACGAAAAATAATATTAGC